TTTGTGACTGAAGATTAAATATTGAATTAAACAAAATAAAATGATATTTTGAGCTGTTGATATATACACACGGTATATGAATAATGCTATTAATATAAATGTTGGTAGCAATGCAGATAAAAACTAAATGACACAGGTCCTAAAATAAAAATATATATATTTAAAAAGATGAACCATAATTTGTATAACCATGATTTTATTTGCAAATATGTTGATCTGTTCTTCATCTTCTTCTCCTAAGGAAGAAAAAAATGAAGACAAAACTGAACAAAATCACTGGGAGCGTAAAAAAACAATCTACAGCAGTCTGACAACAACAATTGGGGAAGCCATGAAAGAATGCTACCAAAGTAAGCAAGAGAATCTAATCATAAATAACCTGACACTATAATTATAGACATTTACATACATGTACATTGTGATTGTGCATTAAAAATGTAGTTGTTTTCTATTTCGTTGTAGAAGCAGCAGACTGTAAAGGACAAGACTCGCTGAAAAACATGAGGGACACTATTGAGAAGCATGTACATGATTCAAAGAACATCATGTTTCAGCAGGCTAAAAATGAAATGTTGAACCAGCTGAGAGACTTGAAGGTTTGTCACATTTTATAAGGCCACATTATCATTATTGTGATAATATGTAGTAGTAAAACATATTCTGGTACACAGCTTTTTCTTTAATCACAATTCTAGGTCCCCATTTTTTATATTCAAGTGGAATTTGCATCATTCTGAAAGCTGCTTTGCTACTAAAAACACTGCAGGCACTGTCACAAACAAACTATAATCTTTGTTATTAATATAAGACAGAAACATACAAAAACATTCGCAGCTGTTAACTCTTTTGCCCAATCTGAGCAGCCCTCTGAACACACACCTAAACAGGAAATTTATGTAGGATTCAGTTAATTGATAACAATATTTTTCTGGGAGTGACAAGTGATAAAGATTTTAATGCTGAATTAGGAGCACGTCCTGGACACTCTGGAGAAAACCATGCAGAAATCAATCGAGCTGTCACTCAAAACAGATGGTGACTCAATACCAGGTAAAAACATTATCACTTAAATAATAATGTGAATATTTTATTGAAATAAATAAGTCAGAACATATCAACAAATAGTGTAATAAACAGTTCACTTGTTGTAAAAAATATGTTTATTTATTCATTTTCTTTCAGATGTTACAGTGGAGCTTGCAGAGGTGAAGGAATACCAAGATGAACTGAAGGGAAGCCCAGATGAAGAAATGTCACTGATTTGGTAAAACTTTTGTGAAAACCATGTCTACATATTGCCCTGATTATTAGCTGCTCTCACTAATGCTAACCATGCTTTTAATTACGCTAGGCCAGAAGCTGATTCACCTGGCCCAGCAGCTGCACTGCGTCCCTGACGTGTGCGCAGGTATGTTTTAATGAAACTGATGATCCAAACCGAGCATTCAAACATTAATGAATAAATTATATGACAGCCCTGCTGTTCAATATCACAACCTTGCTGTTTACCTCTCTGATGGATGTTTCAGGTTTGCTGAGTGGAGTGAAACAACAGAGGCCTGATTGCCCACTGAAGCTCCCTGTGGGCTCGATGATTAGAGATGTATTATCCCTGTTCTTCTTGAGTGTTGTACTTGAGTTTGCGTGTTGTAAATGACATGCAGATATACTTTTTGTTTGCCTTTAATTGATTATAGATCAGGACGGGAGGGGTGTACTACCTTGGTAGTACATACTGTAGGTTGGATATTTTCAAAGAATAATTTGTTTTACTTCTTGTTCAAGGACAAAACTGTTGATAGTAATAAACTAGATGATAATAATTAACCAGCTTATCTGGCATCTCAATATTTACTGCACGTTTTCTTGTTTTATTTAAATTTACCCTGATTCTAAATACATAAATGTATTTCATATAATATATTGTCCAATAAATGCTGATTGCTCTTCATGGTTCAGTAGAGGTGTGTGGTTATTCATTCATTCAGGACCAATGGTAATGGCAGATATTATGTTTGTTTATGTCAGCAAAGTGCAGCTGACTGATGCAAGAACATGACACACACACAGATGGGCCAAACATAGGGACAGGCATCATTAGGATTTTTTTAAATACTGCTTTTTTGCCCTGAGGTTAATCAATTCCTTATTTATTACAATCAACAAGTTTTTCTTACAGATACATAATGATCTGATATATTGATGAAGATGGCATTCTCAGGCTGTATATTAATCTCAACATGTTCCAAAATCATTAATAACCTCATATAAACTATATCTAAGCTGTTTATCCATGCCTATCCTTATCCTGATTGTGAGAAAAACAACTAGCAAGTGGCCAATGTCAGCTTATCCACCTCCTGGCCCACGAGGAAATAGAGCCCTTTTCTCCAGGTGTTTTCTGCGTTTTTAACTGATGTGGTTAGATGTTATGTGTAGAACTAGTTATTACTCTGAATCACGCCCAGAGTAGCTAAATAGTTGTCAAATAAATTGTAGTGGAATAGGATGAATATAATATTTCCCTCTGAAACATAGTGCAGTAGAAGTATAAACTATCCTAAAATGGAACTACTAACTAAAATACATTTAAGTCCAAATAGCTCACGTCTAAAAGTAGTGTTCCGGTGTATATGTACTTACCACTGATGACTGATGCAAGAAAACTACATGTGGACACACTGGGTCAATATCCCTATCTTGCTGATCTCTGTGGTGGACGTTTCAGGCGGAAGTCCTCTTCGAGTGTTGTTTTGATATGTACTTTGAGTTTGCTGTGTGAACTGATGTCTCCCATACATTACTTTTGTAGCAATAATATTACACTAATTATAGATTGAGCTTTTCCCTATTATATACGTGTGTGTTCAGGGGGTGAAAACCACTGTCATTGAAGAAAACCTGTCAGGGTCAAAATAACTGAAAAACTGACATGAAGAAAAAAATAAAAAAATACTTAAAATATTGTCAATGTAAAACACAAATATCAAAGTGAAATTCCTGGAGGGATGGCAGATTGCAGCCGATCACCTTCTCAGGGGATTGAATGATACGCTGCAGTCTGCCCTTGTCTTTGGCAGTGGCAGCAGCGTACCATGTGGTGATGGAGGAGGTGAGGATGGACTTGATGATGGCAGTGTAGAAGTGCACCATCATAGCCTTTGGCAGGTTGAAGAGCTTAGAGCTTTAGCTCCAGGTTGTTCTGGCTGTAGGCGGATCTCTACAAGAGATGAGCCCAATGAGGGAGGCGTCATCCGCGAACTTCAGGAGTCTGACGGACTGGAGGTGCAGCTGTTGGTGTACAGGAAGAAAAGGTTCTCGACTCAGTGTCAATACTGGTTTCCGTTGCAATAAAACATTGTTCAAAAGTCTCAGTGCTAATGTTTCCTTTTTGCAGTTTTGGTTTTGTTTTCAATGATACATTTTATTTTCACTGTCCTTGTTATGTTAAACAGAGGAACCCACAAGCAGAACACAAACTAGGTTGGTTATGATTTCCAAAGACAGGCTTTATTGAAAACTAGCTGATGAAACAGTGATGTGAAGCTCCTGCTGGCAGTGGTGAGAGGATTATCCAGGCAGAGTGGAACTGAAGATGGAGGCAGTGTGGCTGATAGGAAGGAGCGGGCAGGTACCTGAAGTGAAGGTGATGATCTAAGGCACGGGAAAAACAGAGGACTGACTGATACAGGTTTTAGTTGTCATATGTGAAACGTGGGATTTATTCTCATTGACTGGTGAAGTTTGAGTTTGACAGCTGAGGGGTTACTTATTCATTCTTTCAATCTGAAAGGGGCCAATGTAATGAGGAGAGAGTTTTCTAGAGTCTGTTTTTAAGGGGATGTCTAGAGAGGAAAGCCAAACCTAGTAGTTAGTTGCGATCTGCAGGGCAAAGCATGAATTAGTTTAACTGCCAACAATTCCCTGTTACCAACATCATAATTTTGAAGAGGTTCAAAAGCTGAGTTTATAAGTGGAAGAGGATACTTTTTGACAGTTGTTATTTAGGCCCCGGTAATCAATACATGGATGAAGGTTTTTGTCTTTCTTGGAGACAAAGAAGAACTTATAATACCTGCAGCAACCGAGTTGTTGATGTACTTTTCCATTGCCTCCCTTTCAGGATGAGATGGCATGGAAAGGGCCTTCTCCTTGCTGAAGACCTCCCCAAATCATGATATTCAGTTGGGACAGATGACAAATCTGGCGGCTCAGGGACTGGTCAGTGTAGCACGTCGAGCTACAGACGGGGTTCCCTCAGCACACAAACAACCACACTCCGTCGTTGAATACACCACTTTTATTCAGCGTACTGCTCACACGGCACACAAAGTCTAGCTCAGTGGCACTCCCGGTAGCGTCTCTCTGGCCCAGCACACTACTGCAAAGATAAGGGTAGAGTCATCAGGTAATCAAGGGCAGGTGAGGTAATCAACTCACCTGGTGCCGCTCTCCCAAGCCTTGCCCACACCTCTCCCTCCTGCAGCTGAGCGCAAACCACACCCACCTCCACAGTCAGGTGGCAGCTGCCTCTGGTGGGGGGAGAGCAGATTGCAAATAAGAGTCATGGAAAGATGTATTCCAACTCACCACCCTACCAGTAGCCCAGTCCAGATGAGGGCTGTGTTTGATTAACCAGGGGTGTCCAAGGATCAGAGGTACATTGGGTGATGTTAGCACGTAGAACTGGATTTGTTCACGGTGGTTTCCAGAGAGATACAGAAGCACAGGAGCGGTTTGGTGGGTTACTTGAGCCAAAAGCCTTTCATCAAGAGGATTAGCAGTCAGGGGGAGCTGAGTGCAGTCATCTGAATGCCTGCCTGGAGAGCAAATTCCCGGTCCATAAAGTTCTCATCTGCTCCAGAATCCACAAAAGCCGACATAGACAAAGATTAATTATTCCAAAGAAGAGTGGCAGGCAATTGCATACGAGATCGGGGGACAGACGAAGAAGTTTGGCTCACCAGTATCCTCACATCTACTGACTGGCAGTGGTGAGAGGATTATAGCTGAGATCCAGGCAAAGTGGAACTGAAGATGGAGGCAGTGTGGCTGATAGGAAGGAGCGGGCAGGTAGCTGAAGTGAAGATGATGATCCTGAGGCACAGGAAAAAACAAGGTTAAGTTTTTCAGCACAAACAGGAACAAACTTATCTTAAAGTTCTCTAACTGGACAAGAAAGTTACTGCCAGACATGTAGAGACAGGGACACCAGTGTAAATGATTTGCACTCTGCATGACTTTGTTTTGCGTGTGTGCAATGGTGAGTAAGCTGCTGTAGATATATGTGTGTAATTATAAATAATGTGTACACACGTTAGGAATGATTTCAACACGGAAATGAAACTAAAGCTTCCCGATAGGTCCACCAAAAAGGCAGTGACAAGGAGAGTGTTCGAGATTCGGCCAGTGTGGACAAGTGAACAAGAATGTCAGCTGTGAATGTAAATGTAGATAGTTGACTTGTGCCTCTACCAAACACATAGGAGAGATTGAGGTTACTATTTCCTCTTTATGTTACTTTATACTTCAACTCCATCATATTTCAGAGAGGAATATTTTACTTCTTATTCCATTTTGATAAGTACATTTTCCAGATAATTATTTTATAATTTTGTCTAATTGGGATTTTGAATGCAGCTTATAGAGTATTTTGTATATTGTATTGATGCTTATACGTAAGTAAAGGATCTCAATACTTATTCCACCATTGCCTTTTAAACACTGCTAGGTGTGCATGTTCCCAGGTGTATATGTTGCTAAGTGAACACACATCATCAAGGCTGAGGACTTTGAACACAAGCATTGACATGTTTTAAATTTTCTTGCTGAACCTGTTTTTTGGGCAGAGAAGAGACAGAGAGGTGGAGACAATATAAAAGAAAGAGATCAAGTTAAATCAAGCACCAGCGGAGTCATGTTTGTGCATTAAAGAGGAACAGACAAAATGTAAGTACACTTAACATCAATGCATTATATTTCCACTGATTATAACACTGAGACACTGAGTTCATTTTGAAGTGCTATTTACTTTTCCTGTTAGTGGAAATTAAAATGTTATCAGGATAATCAATTTAGTAGGGTGAAAAGTCTATTGAATTGGTGGCATTTGCTCACTGAACATCCTGTTCACATTTAAACACAAGATCCAGAAATACGCTTTTTGCTATTTATTTCAGTTATGGTAGATTATGGTTTGCACAGGTGTTTGGTGGATGTGGAGGATTTTTCAATACAAAAAAGACTTACATCATTACACAATCTGGCCTTATTTTTTTTTTTGTAACATAGAAAACTTTCTAGAATATAGCATGAACACAAAATGTTAACTTCAAACAGAATGTAACACATTAATCATAGTTTAAAGGTGAAAAAGTCAATGTTAACTTTCACAGCAGGTTGTCTTTGTTCTTTTTGGTATGGTTTGGACTGTAATTAGATAAAAAGGAGTGGAGCTATGTTATCTTGGGGGAGTGGTTTAGAGAGGAGTGGAGTGGAGTTTTTTTTATTTTTATTAATTGACTGCTTTCAGCAGTTGCTTCAAAGAGACCAGCAAAATGATCTGTCAGTGTATCCAAATTATGAGTAGGATGAACAGATCTTTAACTCAATAAAATAAAGTTAAGCCATATGCAGCTTTGATTTCACAACACTTCTTAAAGGAAAAAAAGGCGGGGGATGGGGGTGGGCAGGGTTGTTGTAACTGTCTAAAACATGTTTGATTACCTTGCAGTTGCTGGTCATGGATGATTTTGTTCTTAACAAATTAATGGAATGGGGTCTCGCTGAGCTGATTGAAAGATTTAAAGGTAAAGTATTTCCATGCTTCTTTGCTCTGTGAGGTTGTAATGCACTACAAAAGTAAAACTATCGAACCTACACATATTTCACTCCATAAGAAACTGATTTCTGCACCTATTTGAAATTAATTCATTCTCAATTTTTAATTTTTGTTCAATTACAGATGAAGGCATTGATGAGGAAATTCTTTACCTTCTTGATGATCCAGAAATTGATAGCTTGATTCCCAGAGTGGGACACAGGGCAAAATTTAAGAATAAACTCAAGTTGTTAAAGGTAAAGTTCTTCACTGTAAAGATAGTTTACATGAATACTGTGTTTGGACTCATAAATCTTACTATGTAGACATGTGTATTTATAATTAACAGCAAATATGTCTGTTAAAAGTTTTGATGATGACTACAGACTCATTGACAATAATTGCATTTACCAGAATTTTAAATGTTTAACCTATTATGGATTTGCAACTATTTCTTATTGTCACTAGGAAGAAAAAAACACAACAACAAACCAGGAAACTGTTGATTCTTCAGCTCAAGTAAGTTGAATACAGTTTCATGCAGTTAGGTATCATCTAAAGCATTATTACAATCATACAGAGTATATTTCCAATGTCCACTCATATTTTTACATGACCTTGCACTTTCAGTGTGACTTTCACATGCAGTTTAAACAGGAGCATAAAGGTCCAGGTTATTCTCCTCAGGTAAGCATCACATTGAATTTTACATGTATGTAATCAGTGAACGAGCTATTCTTCATAGTATATTTAGAGTATAGAGTACATTTTCAGTGCATGACCTTCCGTTTAAGAGTGTTACTTTTATCTGCAGTGTCAGCAGAAGCCTGAAGAAGCCGTTGATTTGGATCTGGTAAGAATGAGACCTCTACGTATTAGATTGAGATATCTTAAGAATCGTCTCATTGGGTCACAGTGTTGTTGACTGAGGAAAAAATATGTTCCAGTGATCATTTGTTATACCCTTTCTGGACTCTACATTCCAGGGTCATCCCTGATTGGATGATAATAATTCAATTCAATTCAATTCAGTTTTATTTGTATAGCGCCAATTAATAACAGAAGTTATCTCAGGACACTTTTCAAATAGAGCAGGTCTAGATCGAACTCCTTCTAACATAATTATAATAATAATATGTAATAATAATAATATAAATGCAAATATTGTTGTGTGAAATGTGAAGATGTTTATTCAAGCCTGTCAAAACCTGTCAGAGGACAAAACCTGTGTGAATGTAAGTTCTTGATAGAGTGAAATGTTCATATTCATCCTCAGGATTTGCCGTCCACCAGTAACACAAGTGATAAAGGTGAGATACACAGTATCCTATTGATTACATGTAGAGTTCATGTTTTCAAGGCATTAATTTCTCGAACAGTTATACTGAGACCATGTTTTAATATTGTGAGAGGATGGTCCAACATGCTTTTGTTTTTGGTTTCTTTTTGTATTTAAAAAAAACAAGAAGGAAAGCGAAAGTTGGATCTTCAGGGCGAGTCCAGCAGACGGCAACCACAGACTAAGAAACCACGACACGACACTATACCTGGATCATACAGAGGTATATACAGAATATTACTATCTAAACAATGGCAATCTACTGTAGGGTTAAAACTTGCAATGTCATTTTTTTTACTTCTACTTCTTTGCATTCACTCACAGAAAAAATCATACTGTATGATGTGAAAAACATCATGAGATGGGTCGATGAGAGAATACCCAAACAAGACAACAAAAAGCTCAATTCTTTCCTGAAGTAAGTACTACAGTTGTCTGTTGGTTGTCTTAATGTTGCTCTTAGATTAGTGTAAGTGCAGGTTCACAAAAATACATCCTGAGATATTTCAAGCCAATCTACGATTTCAATGCACATAAGGCAAAAAAAAATACAGTATATGGTATTCTCCGCATCTCCCAGAGGACCGCTCTTACCTGTGCACACAAGAGGACGTCTCTTACCTGTGCACTGTTAACTGTACAAGCTCCTGTCACAAGCCAGTTAGTCTATTAACTGAATGCACACGCTATCATGGTTTGACTCATGATGGGGCCTGATATCAGAAACTTTGCATACAGGAATTTTTATCTGGAAAATTAAACACAGTGGTTTAGGATTGGTATGAGATGGCAATATAAAGACAAACACAAACCTTGACATTTGCTGTACTCACTCATCTTTGCCAAGAGGCAAATCAGTAACAGCACCCCACCAGAAATCAAGTGTCACTGTTTCTGTGCATTAGACAGATCACTAATATACAACTTCCCTTAGAATCTAGATGATGGTTTTGACTCATTCTTTTTAGTGTTTGTATATTTTCCAAACTAATCAATTTACACATATTTCAATTCTTGTACAACAGGACTAAAATCAGTAAGTTGGAGACAGACAAGAGGGAGATGGTCGGTGTCTTTGGTAAAACTGGGGCTGGAAAAAGCTCTCTGATAAATGCTGTCATTGGACGGAAGAATCTCTTGCCCTCTGGAGGCATCAGTGCATGTACCTCAGTCATGATTAAAGTGGAGGCAAACATGCAGAGGAAGTATGAGGCAGACATTGAGTTCATTACAAAAGAGGTAAAATGAGCTGCATGTGTTTATATTTACTTGAAACTAGTGTATAAACTAGTGTATAAAATAGCTATAAACATACAGTCGCTGGTTATATTACAACCATGTTATTCAATTTAGTTAAATGTAATTCTTTTTTTTTAGGTGTGGAATGATGAGTTGTGGTCCTTGTTTAATTTCCTCGAGGATAACGACACTGATGAAAAGCTGTCAGCGCTGTATGGAGAAGAATGGAAAAACAAAAAACCTGAAAACCTCATGGATTATAAGTATTTCAAAGAAATCCCCGAATTTCTCCATTCCAGGAGGAAGACTTTGACATGTGAATCAGTAAGTTGTATATTTAGTTTATAATAAGTTATTGTATATATGAAAAGCACTTAAAAGCACTCTTCATCTCTTCATAAGAAAGTAAATAAATCCAATTTCCAAAACCAATTCCAATCAGAATTTTGCCTCCATCATTGTGCCCAAATGTGGACCGCATTAAGATCCTAAATTCTACTGGCATTATACAGGAAACAACACACACGGAAGTAGCATTATGCTACTATGATACACATACTCAATATACTTTTGCAGATAACCCAAGGCATTGTCGAAATCTGATCATGTTTGCAATACAGTTCTAAGCGTAAAACGTAACTATTCATTATCGCCTAGTTTTTATAACCATTTCTACATTTTATTGTTTTTACAGTTGCAGTACTTTTGTTGTTGTTGTTTCACTTTTTCATCATTTTATTGTTTTTATTGCTGTACATCATTCTTGCCAGACCTGTCAGCTAGTTATTTTTTTATTTGTGGTTGTTGTTGTATATCCTTCTAGCCAATATCAATGTGAACTCAGGGCTTTGCTGTAAAAGAGCTCAATGATCAGTCACTTTCCCTGAATGAACAATGGTTGAACATTTAACTTTAGTCTTCACTTCAGCTTTGCTATTTATTATTTATTAATATGTTTATCTGACTTTTTGCTGCCTTTATTATTACTTTCAATGATAGGGTTTCTTTATTAATTATTTCATGCAATATGTGAAGTTTGAATGTCGATATGAATAAAATTGTCTTGTGTTCCATTAATTTTATTCTATAATTTATTACAGGCTGAAGAGCTTTCTGCAAAGTTAGTCAAATACACAAGAACTGGCTCAAAAGGGGGAAAAGGTGAAAACATAAAGAGGTGGTACTGGCCACTAGTGAAGTGTGTGACTATCAGGGTCCCTAGTAATGATCTTCTCCAGCATGTCACACTTGTGGACCTTCCTGGAAATGGGGACCGTAACAAGAGCAGAGATGAAATGTGGAAAGAGGTCATTTATTCACTTGAACTGCTGTTTATTGTGTATTATTGTGCTATCTGGAAACATCATGTTATTACCAATAACTGACAATTAATAATTCATAATTAACTTGCCATTATGCCCCTTCAGGTTGTTGGAAGTTGTTCTACTGTGTGGATTGTGACTGACATTAATCGAGCAGCAGCAGAGACAGAACCCTGGGAGATCCTGGAAAGGACCTGTAGCCTGATGGGAAATGGTGGCCAATGTCAGAAGATTCACTTCATCTGCACCAAGTCTGATGTTATTGAAGATTTGGATGACCAGTAAGTGATTTAAAATCCCCAAAGTACATACTGGTAGTTAAATATAACTTCTAAATTAGACAGTGTGGTGGCTAAGAGCTCGTCAGCAGTAAACACAAGCAAATGTAAATATAATATTGTCACATGATTGTAATGGTTGTTAGTTCAAAGTCTGAAACTGCAGGGACTCCCTCAAACTAATCTTACTTCTGTTTGGTAGATTCTCTTGCTCCAAGATTAGGAACTACAGTTCCCATAATGCTTTCAGGAGAATAAATAGGAATGTCCCTGTACCCTATAGACACACAGCACCCCCTAGAAACTCTGTGATGCATGGTTGCAAGCCTTCTCAAAGTCAAAACAAAACACATGTAAACTGGATGAGCAATCTCCCACTACAGTTTTCTCTGTTTCCCACGTGAGCGTTGAAGTCCCCCAGTAAAGTCCAGTTGGTACTTTTAGCCTGGAGAATACCCAGAGGCAATACTAATTATAAAATTAAATAGTTATTTTTTTCTTTTATTCTAAGAGGAGATGCAAAAAATGTCGGAATTTCAGGTTATAGTTCTTCAAATACTGTATGACGTGCGACATAATACAAATATTTTCTTGCAGTTCATCAGATGAAGTTCGTGCTCTCATATTTAAAAGAAACATGCAAGCCAAGGAAGAAGTGAAAAAAGAATTTAACAAACTAAACCAGGTTAAGGTGAGTAGATACTATAATATACTTAACTCAAAAGTCACACTTATGTAATTATCTCAACCGTCTGTGGGCCAGTATTGATGACCTCATCTGTGGCTAATGTTAATTTCATAATAATCCTTACTCCCTGAAGTCAAGCAGCAGAAGTGACAATCTACAAATACTATTGGCCTAGAGATACCAGAAATGTAGTAGTTGATGCCCCAATGTCCCAATCAAGTTGTTTTGCTGAGTCATGATAAAGTAGTTGTATTTTCGTTAATAATAATACAGGTGAACAGCTCTGTGTTAAGAAACAAATGCCTGTAACCAAGCTGTTTTTTTATACTTCATATATGAATATTAATATAGCCTATATACAGCGGGTAAAATAAGTATTGAACACGTGACCATTTTTCTCAGTACATATATTTCTAAAGGTGTTATTGACATGTAATGTTTGCCAGATGTCGATAACAACCCATGCAATCCACACATGCAAAGAAATCAAACCATAGATGTCCATAAATTAGGTTATGTGTAATAATGTGAAATAACACAGGGAAAAAGTATTGAACACATGATGAAAGGGAGGTGCAAAAAGGCATGGAAAGCCAAGACACCAGCTGAAATCTATCAGTAATTAGAAAGCAATCCTGCCACTTGTCAGTTACTGATCAGCTGGTTCAGTCCAAACTGATGGTCTATAAAAAGGTGTCTCTCTCAAGACCTTCGCAACCTTATTGTTGCAAAACATACTGATGGCATTGGTTACAGAAGGATTTCTAAACTTCTGAATGTTCCAGTGATCACTGTTGGGGCCATAACCCAGAAGTGGAAAGAACATAATTTCACCATAAACCGGCCACGACTAGGTGCTCCTCACAAGATTTCTGACAGAGGAGTGAAAAGAATTATCAGAAGAGTTGTCCAAGAGCCAAGGAACACTTGTGGAGAGCTTCAGAAAGACCTGGAATTAGCAGGTACAATTGTTTCAAAGAAAAACAACTCACCGCGCAAGACTCCATTGCTGAAGAAAAAGCATGTTGAAGCGCGTTTAAAGTTTGCTGCACAAGATTTAGACAAGCCTGTGAAATACTGGGAGAATATAGTCTGGTCAGATGAGACCAAAATTCAACTCTTTGGATGCCATAATACACAGCATGTTTGGAGGTCAAATGGCACTGCACATCACCCCAAAAACACCATACCAACAGTGACGTTTGGAGGTGGGAATATCATGGTGTGGGGCTGTTTTTCAGCATACGGCACTGGCAAACTTCATATAATTGAAGGAAGGATGAATGGAAAAATGTACGTTCTTGAGACATTCTTGATAAAAATCTGCTGCCATCTACCAGGATAATGAAGATGAAACGAGGGTGGACATTTCAGCAAGACAATGATCCCAAACACACAGCCAAGGAAATTGAATTGGTTTCAGAGAAAGAAAATAAAGCTGCTAGAATGGCCCAGCCAATCACCTGACTTGAATCCAAAAGAAAATCTATGGAAAGAACTAAAGATCAGAGTTGATAGAAGAGGCCCACAGAAACTTCATGATTTGAAGACTGTTTGTGCGGAAGAACGGGCCAAAATCACACCTGAGCAATGCATGCGACTAGTTTCTCCATACAGGAGGTGTCTTGAAGCTGTCATTACCAACAAAGGCTTTTATACAAAGTATTAAATACATTTCAGTAAGCGTGTTCAATACTTTTTCCCTGTGTCATTCCATTTTATTACACATAACTTTAAATTCTGAAATTATTTATTTTGGTTTCTTCGCATGTGTGGATTGCATCGGTTGTTACCGACATCTGGTGAAAATGTTATGACAATAGCATCTTTAGAAATATATTTACTGAGAGAAATGGTGATGTGTTCAATACTTATTTTACCTGCTGTGTATATATAGCAACTAATAAATAAAGCAAATGCTTGCCTTGTCTTGTCGGTGTCTAGAGGGAATTTCACTTCCCCTTAAAAAGTGTCATGCAGTGTTTGTTGCTTCAGTGCAGCCTTGGCCAACCTGAGTTACCTGTATGACCTGTATTGTGCTGAGTGTTTATTTTCCTCATCTGTAAATGTATCTTATTTGCTGGGGTTTTGTTGCACTTGCAGTGGCGAGGTAAGTGCGTAGCTCTCCACTGCTTTATCTGATCCGCTGCCTTGGACTGAGCTCTGCACACCCACACGCTGTGCATGAAAGTTTTGCAAGTAAATCCCCTGTACAGCTGCACTTGTCGCCGTCTTCGACATGTTCTTCTTCCTGTGGCTAAACAGCCGACAAGAATACGTGTGTGCGTAGATACCGCCTGTCAGGTCCAAGAGAATTGTGGTACAGAGGATGCAATTCTACTGTACTGTGGGAAAACGAGTACCTTTAGGTTTTCGGAATATTGGTATCGAGTTGGTACCAAAAGTATCGGTTCTCGTGACATCCTGGCCCTTGTTGCGAATTGGGTAGAGAGTAAACCCACTTTTCCAGGCACCACTGCCTACAACTGCAAGCTTGCCTTAATGTCATTCTTTTTTCTTTCAGAAACATTTCAGTGATGACTGTTTCGAAGTGTTCACAGTGAGCTCCAAAGAGTTTCTAAAGCAAAAACATCTAAACCCAGACGACACTGGTAGGTGAAGTCTCTATATATGAGCACTTAATGGATAACAGAAAGTACAAAGCTCAAATACATGTTTTGTTTTATTTAACAACTTTAATTAAAACACGAATGAATAATTGGATTATGACATTTAAATTTAAGCAAATAATGTAAATATCTCAACTGCATTTTTTTTTTTTTTTTATGTAGTTATTTTTTTGGTCCTTTTTTATTGCCTTTATATGATAGGGACAGCCAAAGATAGACAGGAAATGGGGGTAGAGAGAGTGGGGACGACATGCAGCAAAAGGCCGCAGGTCAGATTCGAACCCTGGGCCGCTGCAGCAAGGACTCAGCCTCAGTATATGGGTTGCCAGCTCTACTAACTGAACTAACCGGGCACCCTCAACTGTATTTTTTTTACAGAAATACCCAAACTGCAGGAATTTCTGAAAGATCTCAATGACTGTCACTCAGAGACATTAAACCATGTGTCTGGAGCTTATGGGATTCTCTCTCTGATCCAAGGGGCCCGTCGTACAGAAGTGGTAATACTAAGTAACATCTTTTATTGTTTTTAATTGTCATTTATTTTAACAGAAGATAATATTCACAGCCAATAAGTAAGTTGAAGTTAACTACAGTCAAATCCAGCTAAAAACAGACTTCTTAAATCTATGTGGAGTAACTATGATATAATGGCAATTAAATACTGAAAGGTTCTACATGTCTTCACCCCTAAATAAATGTTTGCCATTGAGGTAGATTTTTCTGAATTTTTGCTGCATAACCACAGTAAATAAAGGATACTCCAGAACAACACAATTGCATGAATAAATAAACAATGAATAGTTGAAAAGAAACCCCAATCAGGTGGTAGTATACAGTAGTTTAATTGTTGGAATTTCTGAACGTTTTTTTTTTTATTTATTTGAGGTTTCCCAAAAAAGAGAGGTGTGCACAATCCTTGAAGACAAGATGAGGCAGGAACTTGAAAAAGTCAGAAAACCCATGGAAGAGGCTTATAAGGCTTTTGAAAAATGCCTAAGTGAGGGGGTTGAACAATCAAAACCTTCATGTCAACAAGCCTTGAGCTCTATATATCCTGTATGTATTTGAATTATAATTACATCCAAACATTTTGCACTTCATATGATTATGTTATGTCTCCTAAAATGTTCTGGATTTTAGTTTTTGTTTATGTTTTAGAGTGAGGTGTCAGGTAGCGGTTTTCACAGGACATTGAAGTGTGTGGTTCAGCACAATGGCACATACACACCAAAGAAAGGGAAACAAATAAACCTGAATGTGGACTTGGCTTCACGCCTGACTGACAGCATTGATGAAGAATTCAAGAAGACCTTCCCGTAAGAAAAGATTTAATGAAGACATAAAACCCTTGGTTGACCCATTTTAAAACTATAGAGAATCGTAATGAATGAATGATATAATATAATACATATATACAAATTGCATTATCAAAATACAAAATTGTCTTTTATGAAACATGTCAACTTAACATGTTTCAGAAACGAAAGAAAATATGGACCATTCAACGGGGTCATCAATAACTTTTCACTTGACACAGAGAGGCTGATTCAAAAGCACGGGAATGTTGAACTGCAGCTCATATTTCTCAAGACGGAGGTAAAAGATGAGAACACTACTATCCTATCCATTAGTCCATTATCATGCTGTTTGTCCAGGGAGACTTTAGGGTGAGCAATCAACCCAAACATCAAGTTTGTGACTGAAGATTAAATATTGAATTAAACACGATAAAATTATATTTTGAACTGTTAACATAATAACACGGTATATGAATAATGCTATTAATATAAATGTTGGTAGCAATGCAGATAAAAACTAAATGCCACAGGTCCTAAAAAATAAAAATATATATATTTAAAAAGATGAACCATGATTTGTATTGTAACTGTGATTTTATTTGAAAATATGTTGATCTATATTTAATTTTCTTCTTCTAAGGAAGAAAAAATGAAGACAAAACTGAACAAAATCACCCGGGAGCGTAAAAAAACAATCTACAGCAGTCTGACAACAACAATCGAGGAAGCCATGAAAGAATGCTACCAAAGTAAGCAAGAGAATCTAATCATAAATAACCTGACACTATAATTATAGACATTTACAAAAATGTACATTGTGATTGTGCATTGAAATGTAGTTGTTTTCTATTTCGTTGTAGAAGCAGCAGACTTTAAAGGAAAGGACTCGCTGAAAAACATGAGGGACACTATTGAGAAGCATGTACATGATTCAAAGAACATCATGTTTCAGCAGGCTAAAAATGAAATGTTGAACCAGCTGAGAGACTTGAAGGTCTGTCACATTTTATAAGGCCACATTATCATTATGGTGATAATATGTAGTAGTAAAACATGTTCTGCTACACAGCTTTTTCTTAAATCACAATTCTAGGTCCCTATTTTTTATATTCAAGTGGAATTTGCATCATTCTGAAAGCTGCTTTTGCTACTAAAAACACTGCAGGCACTGTCACAAACAAACTATAAACTATTGTTATTAATATAAGACAGAAACATCCAAAAACATACGCAGCTGTTAACTCTTTTGTCCAATCTGAACAGCCCTCTGAACACACACCTAAACAGGAAATGTATGTAGGATTCAGTTAATTGAACACAATATTTTTCTGCGAGTGATAAGTGATAAAGATTTTAATGCTGAATTAGGAGCACGTCCTGGACACTCTGGAGAAAACCATGCAGAAATCTATCGAGCTGTCACTAAAAACAGATGGTGACACAATACCAGGTAAAAAATAACATTATCACTAAAATAATGTGAATATTTTATTGAAATAAATAAGTCAGCACATTTCAACAAATAGTGTAATAAACAGTAAAAAGTATGTTTATTAATTTTCTTTCAGATGTTACAGTGGAGCTTGCAGAGGTGAAGAAATGCTACGATGAACTGAAGGGAAGCCCAGATGAAGAAATGTCACTGATTTGGTAAAACTATTGTGAAATGTCTACATATTGCCCTGATTATTAGCTGCTCTCACTAATGCTAACCATGCTTTTAATTACGCTAGGCCAGAAGCTGATTCACCTGGCCCAGCAGCTGCACTGCGTCCCTGACATGTGCACAGGTATGTTTTAATGAAACTGATGATCCAAACCGAGCATTCAAACATTAAAGGATAAATTATATGACAGCCCTGCTTTCAATATCACAACCTTGCTGTTTACCTCTCTGATGGATGTTTCAGGTTTGCTGAGTGGAGAGAAACAACAGAGGCCTGATTGCCCACTGAAGCTCCCTGTGTGCTCGATGATTAGAGATGTGTTATCCCTGTTCTTCTTGAGTGTTGTACTTGAGTTTGCATGTTGTAAATGACATGCAGATATACTTTTTGTTTGCCTTTAATTGATTATATATTATATTCAAAGAATAATCTGTTTTACTTCTTGTTCAAGGACAAAACTGTTGATAGTATTTAAGTATATGATAATAATTAACCAGCTTATCTGGCATCTCAATATTTACTGCACATTTTCTTGTTTTATTTCAATTTACACTGATTCTAAATACATAAATGTATTTCATATAATATACTGTCCAATAAATGCTGATTGCTCTTCATGGTTCAGTAGAGGTGTGTGGTTATTCATTCATTCAGGACCAATGGTAATGGAAGATATTATGTTTGTTTATGTCAGCAAAGTGCAGCTGACTGATGCAAGAACATGATACACACACAGATGGGCCAAACATAGGGACAGGCATCATTAGGATTTTTTTAAATACTGCTTTTTGGCCCTGAGGTTAATCAATCCCTTATTTATTACAATCAACAAGTTTTTCTTACAGATACATAATGATCTGATATATTGATGAAGATGGCATTCACAGGCTGTATATTAATCTCAACATGTTCCAAAATCATTAATAACCTCATATAAACTATATCTAAGCTGTTTATACATGCCTATCCTTATCCTGATTGTGAGAAAAACAACTAGCAAGTGGCCAATGTCAGCTTATCCACCTCCTGGCCCATGAGGAAATAGAGCCCTTTTCTGCGTTTTTAACTGTGGTTAGATGTTATGTGTAGAACTAGTTATTACTCTGAATCACGCCCAGAGTAGCTAAATAGGTGTCAAATAAATTGTAGTGGAATAGGATGAATATAATATTTCCCTCTGAAACATAGTGGAGTAGAAGTATAAACTATCCTAAAATGGAACTACTACCTAAAATACATTTAAGTACAAATAGCTCACGTCTAAAAGTAGTGTTCCGGTGTATATATATATATATATATATATATATATATACTTACCACTGATGACTGATGCAAGAAAACTACATGCGGACACACTGGGTCAATATCCCTATCTTGCTGATCTCCGTAGTGGATGTTTCAGACGGAAGTCCTCTTTGAGTGTTGTTTTGATATGTACTTTGAGTTTGCTGTGTGAACTGATGTCTCCCATGCATTACTTTTGTAGCAATAATATTACACTAATTATAGATTGAGCTTTTCCCTATTATATACGTGTGTGTTCAGGGGGGTGAAAACCACTGTCATTGAAGAAAACCTGTCAGCTTAAAAATAACTGAAAAAACCTGACATGAAGAAAAAATTCTAAAAGACTTAAAATATTGTAAAACACAAATATCAAAGTGAAATTAACTTTACATTTTTAATGTGTTGTTGGTAACCTGTGTGTGACAGATTTGTTATGAGAGGTGAGTGTGAGGGGTAGTAACATTAAGTTAGTCAACAATAAAGTGTGTAGATGAGTTCAGTTGCAGTATAATAGTTGAACTGAAACGCTGTGTGTTGTGTTTGCTGCTGCAGAAGATAAATAAAAAGTTCCTATTTATGTAACGTTATATAACGTCTTCTTGCACTGTTCACAGCTGAGTTGGTCCAGACAACAGATGGCTCATAAGCTAGTTAATAGCTATTATAGTTAGGTGTTCACAGTGAAGCATTGCTATTGTGCTAATTGTGCTAGGCTTGTTATATTGTACAACAGACACACCCTCAATATTTTCTCTCTCCAAAGCATGTTGTGCGACAGTAATAATAGTCCATGTAAAACACAGTGCCCTGAATGGCTTAAACAAAGTGTCCATGCAAACAATTTTAATCTATGGTTTTCACTCATTGTAAAGGAATCATTTCAGCCGCAATCCTCACTTAAGTTGGCTCAGAGAGAGAAAGAACAATGATATCAGTGGCAAGATATCTCACAGATGTTCTGATACATTGATGGAGCTGGTTACTGGTTTCAGGTTGTGTATGTCTATGTATATCTCAATATTTTCCAGATCATTTCTTACCTCATATGAACCATATATATATATATATATGTTTGTCCATGCCTTTGTCATATTGTTAGAGACTGCAGCAATCAACCCCAACCAACCTATTTATTTATTGTATTTCTTCATAACCCACATCACATTGGTGTAGGTGTGGTTGTGTGAAACAGGTGCTGTTGCCTTGCCTTGTGGCCAATGTCAGCTTATCCACCACCTGGCCCACATTTAAACCCATGAACCCTTTTCTCCAATTGTATTTTGCCTCTTTATTTTACTGCTGTGCTAAGATGTTTTGTGTAGACGTAGACACTACTCTCAGTTCTTGTCGGTGTTTGTTTGGGACCCCCTTTAAAACAAGATCATACATCTCAAGGGGTTTATCCTCAGATAATAAATAAATTTTAGGGAAGGTAGTGATGGTAGAAGTATTTAGATCCTATAAGTAAAAGTAGCAATATAAAAATTTTCAATTGCAACTTAACATCAAACTTTTGAAATCCTACTCAATTAGTAATACAGTAGTATATCAAAAATTGTTCTAAAAAATTGCTCATGTGCCTGATATATTATTATATATTCCATTATTAAATTCATAATACTAATGCAATATGTTAGTAGCATTTTACTGTTCTAGTCTTAACTACTTTATATAAAGTCTGGGGTTGTGGGATGTGTAATGGGGCACAAAGTAGAAAAGCCTAAATTCTGCATCAAAATAATTTTTTCAGACCATTCTCTCATCTGTGTTTTTCTGTGTCATCTGCAGGTCTACTTGCAGTCAACATTAACTTCTACTGCCTCTGGTGTTAACAGCAAGAAAAGTGTGTTTATTATGTGTGCCAACATGTATGCACAAGAAACAAACAACTGATTATTTGCTTTTATTAGGGACCGAGCCAGTGTCAAAAACTGTGAGGTCCCAGGAATTATTATTATTATTTATTCCGGAGTGGGCGGCCGCAACATGCTTGAAAGATCAAGGAAATTTGCACAAAGTTCAATCGTTCGAAAACCGGTACGCATGTGTATCATGATAAAAGAAGCAGAAAAGCCTCCTGGACCCAAACCTCACACCCAACAGGAAGTCGGCCATTTTGGATTTTGTGGTCATTTCTGGCAATTTTCGCCGTTGCATTGCATGCAGGGAATTTATTGAATCGACTCCACACTTTGACACAGCCATCTAAAGACATTCACGATTAAGTTGTGCTCTTTATGACATTGCTTGTCAAACAGCGTGGGCGTGGCGTGGCGTCCCATGGCGTCCAATTTCGATCCTTCACCTTGAAAACAGAAAGTTGTCATAACTTCTGCGTACATGATCCGACTGCAACGAAACTGCACATGTTTGATAAGAGTCCCGCCCTGAACACGTCTATGTGATAATATTCAGTAATAGTGAGAGCGCCACTTAGTGGCAACAGGATGCAGGATGATTAGATCCACCTGAAATTTACTTATGAAATGCAAAACACATTGTTGATGATATGTGATGACTGTGGTGAGTGGGCGTGTCTGTGGCGTGGCGTCAAATTTTGATGTACCGCCAGAACACACGAGTTTGCTATAACTTGAGTGTACATTGTCCATTCGGCTCCAAACTTCACTTGTCTAATGACAGTCCCTCCCTGAACTCCATCTGAATATCTATCTATGTGACAGTATTCACTTATAGTCAGACCGCCACCTAGTGGTGGAATTTATTACACTTTAATGTTTTTCTCCCAGCAGATTGAAATTTGGCCAGGAGAACCTTAGAATGTTGACAATGACAACTTACAAATCTTTTATTGAACCGTGTTGCCGTAGCGACACGGAGAGCATCACCTTGTTGTTTTAACATTTGATCGCATTTTGCGCGGGCTAAACAGGCTCAACACCTCATGAAACTTGGCACACACGTCCCACATGGCAGCATTTTACATTTCATATGGATGTTTCCTGTGGGTGTGTTAAAATGGCTCGATAGCGCCCCCTACAAACTTTCAAAAAACCAGCCCTGGTGTCCTGTTTAGGTGACATGAATGAAAATTAACAGGCATATATATCAAGTTAGGACGTACAAAATACCCTCTTTGACCCGTAACCCAAACACTAGAAGTTCACTATTTCGATTTTCATTTTCACTTTAGACAAATGTTTCAATGTATTTGAACGAACTCCTCCCTAGGGAATTTATCGGATCTGCTTCAAAATTGGACAGTATAGTCAAACGATGTTGCTGATTAAAACTTGCGCGATTTGTGACTGTAAGTTGAAGGGTGTGTCCGTGGCGTGCCGTCAAGGTTGGCCATTTTGAATTCGTGGTCAATTTACGTGAATTTTTCAAAGTTGGCCATTTTGAATCGAATGTTTAACTGTGATGCCATTTCCAGCATTTCAGGGCTTCAATTTTAACTAACTCCTCCTACAGATTTTATCAGATTGACTTAAAATTCGATCACTGCAATCTAGACACGTTGGTAATCCAACGTTAATCAAATATTTACTGTGCGTCAAACGGCGTGGCGCTGAATTTCCACGTTTCGCAGTGAAGAGTCTCGCTATTAAAGCGTAAGTCTTTAGCACAGTGTCTGAAACGCGTGACGATGTAAAGCGGTCTCCCTCAGCTTATGGCGATGAGGGCTTGGGAGTGGGGCGACATGACATGGCGTGGCGTGGCGTGGCGCGGTGTGGCGCGGCTGTGGCGGGCAACCGCCTTGCAGGCCCCAACGTAGGTTGATGGCGAGGTCCCACCCAATGCTGCTTGCAGCTTTCATTTTATTAGTAATACTGATTGATACAGCACAAATGGTTCTAGTAATTATGAATACTACAACAGCAGCTTCACAGCAGTATCAGATTCAGTTATACCTAAACCTTTTGAACATGCCACAATACTGTTTTTATTTTTTGTAAAGGGTGGGAGGGTTGTGTTGTCAACCCCACAGTGCAAACAACCCAAACAACCAGTAAGTGTCAGTGCAGCAGCAATGACAAGAACCCTCCCATCCCGTCCCAGCCTTTTAACAGTGGTGAAAAGTAAGTAAGTACATTTACTCAAGTACAGTACTTAAGGTACATTGAGGTTACTATTTCCTCTTTATGTTACTTTATACTTCAACTCCATCATATGTCAGAGAGGAATACTTTACTTCTTATTCTATTTTGATACGTTAAGTACATTTTGCACATAATTCTTTTATAATTTTGTCTAAGTGGGATTTTGAATGCAGCTTATAAAGTATTTTGTACATTGTGGTATTGATGCTTATGTAAGTTAAGGATCTCAATACTTATTCCACCATTGCCTTTTAAACACTGCTAGGTGTGTATGTTCCCAGGTGCTGTAAGTGAACACAAAACCCTGAGGACTTTGAACACAAGCACTGACACATTTTAAATTATCTTGCTGAACCTGTTTTGTGGGCGGAGAATAGAGACAATATAAAAGAAAGAGATCAAGTTAAATCAAGCACCAGCGGAGTCATGTTTGTGCATTAAAGAGGAACAGATAAAATGTAAGTACACTTAACATCAATGCATTATATTTCCACTGATTATAATACTGAGACACTGAGTTCATTTTGAAGTGCTATTTACTTTGTCTGTTAGTGGAAATTAAAATGTTTATCAGGATAATCCATTTAGTAGGGTGAAAAGTCTATTTAATTGGTGATATTGGCTCACTGAACATCCTGGTCATATTTAAACACAAGAGCCATAAATCCGTTTTTGCTGTTTATTTCAGTTATGGTAGATTAAGGTTTGCACAGGTGTTTTATAATTTAACTTACATCATTAATGCATCCACAATCTGGCCTTATTTTTTTTTTTTTTCCGTATCATAGAAAACTTTCTAGAATATAGCATGAACACAAAATGTTAACTTCAAACAGAATGTAACACATTAATCATGGTTTAAAGGTGAAAAAGTCAATGTTAACTTTCACAGCAGGTTCTCTTTGTTTTTCTTGGTATGGTGTGGAGGGGAACAAATCTGATAAGAGGAGTGGAGCTATATAATTTGTGGTTTAGAGAGGAGTGGAGTGAAGTTTTTTTTTTTTTTTTTATTGAGATTCAGAGAGATCAGCCACACGATCTGCCAGTGTATTAAAATTATAAGTAGGATGAACCGATCTTTAACTCAATAAAATAAAGTTAAGCCATATGCAGCTTTGATTTCACAACACGTCTTAAAGCACAAAAGACGGGGGAGGGGGTGGGGGCAGGGTTGTTGTAATTGTCTAAAACATGTTTGATTACCTTGCAGTTGCTGGTCATGGATGATTTTGTACGTAACAAATTAACAGAATGGGGTCTCGCTGAGCTGATTGAAAGATTTAATGGTAAAGTATTTCCATGCTTCTTTTTGGAATGACCTACCAATACTGAAACCTCAAAGCATCTAGAACATGCTGAACATTGCAGTACAATGCTGGCATATCCTTAATAGACAGTTTGAGAAAATGGGAAAGATCAGTGTTATTCATCATGCCAATTTTTTGTCTCTGTTTGCAGTGTATAAAAGCACTCACAATAAAAACCTTGTATATTTTCCCACAGTTTAAGGAACACTTTATTATCTTGCTGTTCATTAGCATCTTTATTAGACTGAGAAGTGACAAATTGCTAAAATACAATCAAATCAACATGCATTCAGCTCATAAAACCACGCAATTTCATAAGGAGTAGGGTCTAGACCTGCTCTATATGAAAAGTGTCCTGAGATAATGTCTGCTATGATTTGGCACTGTAGAAAACCCTAACCTAAACATTTAAGGAAAGTAAAATGTCCTATAAAAAAAAAAACCAACACCTATTACAATTGTCGTCACCTACCAATTTTTTTCTCTTTTTTGTTCAATAACAGATAAAATCATTGACGAGAAAAGTTTTACCTTCTTGATGATCCCAAAATTGAACGCTTGATACCCAGAGTGGGAGACAGGGAAATATTTAAGAATAAACTCAAGTTGTTAAAGGTAAAGTTCTTCACTGTAAAGATAGTTTACATGAATACTGTGTTTGGACTGATAAATCTTACTATGTAGACACGTGCATTTATAATTAACAGCAATAATGTCTGTTTTGATGATGACTGCAGACTCATTGACAATAATAGCATTTACCAGAATTTTAAATGTTTTTACTATTATGTATTTGCAACTATTTCCTATTGTCACTAGGAAGAAAAAAAACACAACAACAAACCAGGAAACTGTTGATTCTTCAGCTCAAGTAAGTTGAATACAGTTTCATGCAGTTAGGTATCATCTAAAGATTATTACAATCATACAGAGTATATTTTCAGTGCATGACCTTCCACTTAAGAATGTTTTAATTTGCTTTTATCTGCAGTGTCAGCAGGAGCCTGAAGAAGCTGCTGATTTGGATCTGGTAAGAATAACGTTGTTGTAGCAAGCGTGGGTAGGGTACTTGCTACTACTGCAATATAAAGGGTAGAGTGATTACACAATGACTTGCATCTGAGATAATCAACTCACCGGGTGCTGCTCTCACAAGCCTTCCCCACACCTCTCTCTCCTGCAGCTGAGTGCAAACCACACCCACCTCCACAGCTGTATTTCACAGGCATGTAATCAGTGAATGGGCCTCTATGTATGTGATTGAGTCATCTTTGAATTAAAAGATGGTCTCACTGGTCACAGTGTTCAAAAAGATGTTCTAGTGATCATTTGTTATACCCTTTCTGGACTCCACTTCCCAGGGTCATCCCTGATTGGATGATAATAAATGCAAATATTGTTGTGTGTAATGTAAAGATCTTTATTTAAGCCTATCGAAACCTGTTAGAGGACAAAACCTTTGTGAATGTAAGTTCTTGATAGAGTGAAATGTTCATATTCATCCTCAGGATTTGCCGTCCACCAGTAACACAAGTGATAAAGGTGAGATACACAGTATCCTATTGATTACATGTAGAGTTCATGTATGTTTTCAAGGCATTAATTTCTCAAACAGTTATACTGAGACCACGTTTTAATATTGTGAGAGGATGGTCCAACATACTTTTGTTTTTGGCTTCTTTTTGTATTTAAAAAACAAGAAGGAAAGCGAAAGTTGGATCTTCAGGGCGAGTCCAGCAGACGGCAATCACAGAAACCACGACAGGACACTATACCTGGATCATACAGAGGTATATACAGTATATTACTATCTAAACAATGGCAATCTACTGTAGGGTTAAAACTCGCAATGTCATTATTTTTTACTTCTACTTCTTTGCATTCACTCACAGAAGAAGTCATACTGAATAAAGTGAAAAAAATCATGGAATGTGTCAATGAGAGAATACCCAATCAAGATAACAAAAAGCTCAATTATATTCTGAAGTAAGTATTGAGTTTTTCATAATATGCATTGTTTTATGGGCCAGGTTCCACTCCTAACAAGAGGCCAGTGGTCTGTAGTGTTGTCTTAATATTGCTCTTAGATTAGTGTAAATTAGGCATGAAATTGAAATACGTCCTGACATATTTCAAACCACTCAGACTTAAAATGCACATAAGGCAAAAAATACCGTGTATGGTATTCTCCACAGCTCTCAGAGTCGCCGTCTGTTGTTCATACTTTAAATGCAATTCAAACCAAACTGTTAGTTGATGAGAAGAGTTTTAGTCCACGCACTTTGTATTAGTTGGATAGTCCCAGAAAAAGCAAAACAAGATTAATCTCTCTTCAGGAACAGCACCTTGTCACTGTGACAAAGAGAACATAAGAGAAAGTCTCCTCTGTTAACTGTACAAGCTCCTGTCACTAGCTAATTAGTCTATTAGCTGACTGTACTGGGACTGCGAGCAGAAAGTACTGTGGCAGGTGACACCAGTAACACAGGAGTGGGGCCAGAATGATCACCATAGCCAGAGTGGGCCGAGGATGCAACAGAGCCGGGCTCAGCAGGCAATTTACAGTGGCTCTGACCAGGACTAGACACAGCAGTTCAGGCAGGGAAAGGAGAGGCATGAAGGGGAGGATGATGAGGGGAACTGCATATGGTAATGATTCTGTGTAGTTTCATCTCTGAGTGACCTCTTTCACATACAAGTAGGCATTAGAATCTTGATGATGGTTTCTCATTTTTAGTTTGTATATTTACACATATTTAAATTCTTCTACAACAGGACTAAAATCAAAGACTTGAAGACAGACAAGAGGGAGATGGTCGGTGTCTTTGGTAAAACTGGGGCTGGAAAAAGCTCTCTGATAAATGCTGTCATTGGACGGAAGAATCTCTTGCCCTCTGGAAGCATCAGTGCATGTACCTCATTCATGATCAAAGTGGAGGCAAACATGCAGAAGAAGTATGAGGCAGACATTGAGTTCATTACAAAAGAGGTAAAATGAGCTGCATGTGTTTATATTTACTTGAAACTAGTGTATAAAAAAGCTACAAACATACAGTTGCTGGTTATATTACAACCATGTTATTCAATTAAGTTTTCATCATTATGTTTTTAGGAGTGGAAAGATGAGTTGTGGTTCTTGTTGAATTTTCTTGGAGATAATGAACCTCAGGAAAAGGACGATGATGATGATAATGTTGATGATGATGATGATGATGATGACGATGACGATGATGATGATGATGATGATGATGATGATGATGAAAAGCTATCAGCGCTGTATGGAGAAGAATGGAAAACCAAAAAGGTTGAATACCTCATGGATGACAAACGTTTCAAAGACATTTCAGAACTTCTCCGTTCAAACACAAAGACTTTGACATGTGATTCAGTAAGTTGTATATTAATTAGTTTATATTAAGTCATAAATGAAAACTTTATGTATAGTTTTATATACAGCTCTGGAAACAAAAATGAAACTGTAAAATTATCAGTTTCTCTGGTTTTACTATTTGTAGGTATGTGTTTGAGTAAAATGAAAATTTTTGTTTTATTCTAACTAAAACTACTGACAACATTTAGAGCATTTATTTGCAAAAAATTATAACTGGTCAAAATAACAAAAAAGATGCAGTGTTTTCAGACCTCGAATAAGTTCATAATAATTTTTAAACAAAACAATACCAATGTTTTAACTTAGAAAGAGTTCAGAAATCAATATTTGGTGGGATAACCCTGATCACTGGGTGCGAGACACTGTGGCTTGTAGGGCCTCTCCAGGTCTCCGTCTAACCATTAGACCACCAGGTGTTGGGACTCAGCAGAGAAGATGACTTTACTCCAGTCCTCTATGGTCCAATCCCTATGGTCTTTTTTAAACCTCAGCCTGGCTCTTCTTTGCTTCTCTTTGATGAAGGGCTTTTTTCTAGCTTTGCACGACCATTTGCCTTTCTTTTTGTAGGTCACTTGATGTCATCCTACGGTTGTTGATATTCAAATGAGTTGGCGGTCATCCCGGTCAGTGGAGAGTTGTTTACGCCCTCTGCCGGTCTGTAGCTTTGTTGTACCCAATGTCTGTTGCTTGACCTTGTTCTTATGAACCATGGTCTTTGAAATGTTAAGGATGGAAGCAACCTGACGCTCAGTACAGCCAGAACTGAACCCTTCTATGCCTCACTCAAAACTTTTCTTTTCAACTCTTTTGGCATGGTCAATAGGTTGCAATTACTTTTGAGGTACTACTAGCTCTGTTTTTGTCATCCGACTGGTCCTATTGCAAGAGGATAGTGATGACCACAGCAGTGGTTTTTATACTTTTACTCATTAAATAAGATTTGGTTCAGGAGATCACTTAATCAGTACCTTATTAATTAGACTGAGGTGTGCTTGTGTTGGAATTCAACAGACACTGGAATGGAATGGCTGCCATACATGTAGAGATGATTTTTTACAGTGCTGTATATATATATTAGTTCAAAAGTTAAATCAATATATAAAATGCACAAATCCACAAAGAGTGGACTGAATCCATCTGTCCTCAATAACTACAAACCCATATCTCTTCATAGGAAGAGTCTCTACCAATAAATTAATTTATACAGTATAACTTCTTTGACAAATTGCAGTCATTTTGCCTCAATCATTGTAGACTGCTCACTCTCAGTGGTGAACACAAAACACAGGGAAGTAGCATTATGCTACTATGATACACATACAACTTCCTGGATAACTCAAGGAACTGTCACAATCTGATCATGTTTGCAATTCAAACAACTGTTCACTATTGCCCAGTTTTTGCTGCCTTTATTATACTTTCAATGATAAGGTTGCCTAATTAATTATTTTATGCAATATGTTACGTTTAAATGCCGATATGAATAGAATTGCCTTGTATTCCCTTAATTTTCCCTTAAATTATTTCCCTTAATATTGCAGGCTGAAGAGCTTTCTGCAAAGTTAGTCAAATACACAAGAAGTGGCTCAAAAGGGGAAAAGGTAAAGACGTAAAGAGGTGGTATTGGCCACTAGTGAAGTGTGTGACTATCAGGGTCCCTAATAATGATCTTCTCCAGCATGTCACACTTGTGGACCTTCCTGGAAATGGGGACCGTAACAAGAGCAGAGATGAAATGTGGAAAGAGGTAATTTATTCACTTGCACTGCTATTTATTGTGTATTATTGTGCTATCTGGAAACTGTAACATCATGTTATTACCAATAACTGACAATTAATTATTCATAATTTACTTCATTATCCCCCTTTCAGGTTGTTGGAAGTTGTTCTACTGTGTGGATTGTGACTGACATTAATCGAGCAGCAGCAGAGAAAGAACCCTGGGAGATCCTGAAAAGGACCTGTGGCCTGATGGGAAATGGGGGCCAATGTCAGCAGATTCACTTCATCTGCACCAAGTCTGATGTTATTGAAGATTCAGATGACCAGTAAGTGATTTAAAATCCCCAAAGCACATACTGGTAGTTAAATATAACTTCTAAATTAGACAGTGTGGTGGCCAAGAGCTCAACAGCAGTAAAAAGCAGTAAACACAAGCAAATGTAAATATAATATCGTCATGGTTATTCATGATTCAATGGTATTCAATATGATCATGCCACAAG